GAAGTTGTATAAACTGGATTTCCTTTTGTTCTCTGAGTGTGTATGTGCATACATGAACAGGTCACAAGACAACCTCAGGTGTCATTCCTCAGCAGTATTGGCCTTGCTTTTAGACATAAGATCTCTCATTGGCCTGGAACTCACCCCAAAGGCTAGGCTGCTTAGCCAGTGGCCCTTGGGATTCACCCCACCTTCTTCCCAGGACTGGACTACAGATGTGCGCCGACCACACCCAGAAATCTGCAGATTGTCCAGGGCCTGGTGCTAGCAAGCAAACACTTCAGTGGGTAAGCCCTTGCCCCAGGCTTCCTTTGCTTTTTTTTTTTTTTAACCATGTGATTTTTACTGTCTTACACACACACACACACACACACACACACACACACACACACACACACACACACACATATCAGGGAGCAGGAAAAAAGGGAAAGGAAACAAAGTTGCCAAAATCCCAAAAGCTGATTGCTGCTGGTCTCCACAGCTGCTGAGAGTTGGGCATCAAAGGAGCACCCTGAGAGATTACAGTCTCGGCACCAGGATGGTGGATTCTGGCAAATATAAACCAGTTGTGTCCTTTTACCCTGTGAATCTGTGGCTGCACTCCTGCCTACCAGACCAGAGCTCAGGGCAGGAAATGCTCCCAGAATCCTGGACGTAACTCAAAGCTCTGTTCTTTCTAAGCAACTGCTGATGTCTGTTGCGCCTCTGGCTACCTCTCCCTGCAGACACAAGAAGTAACTTACGTGCTGGTTGGCCTTCTCCTCTTTAAAAATAAATTTATTTTATGTTTGGGGTTTATGGGATATACACAGAGGATAAAATGTTCGCTGTAGGGAAGCAGATTAAGACTTTGTCATCTAATAATTACTTTTATTTGTGATAAGAGCAGCTAAAACCTGCCTAACAAAAATCCCTCGTGTATTTGATTTTGTTATTTCTAGTTCTCTAAACTAGTAAGCTTGTTAGTCCTGAACATCCCATTCCTCATTTTGCTGATTGCTTCCTTGGCTGTTTTCTGACCCGTGACCTGCACATTCCCACCCTTCTCCATTTCCTCCCCACCCCGCTCTCAGGATAATCACTGTTGCATTTCGTCTTGATGCTCTTGCTCTTTTGGAATCCACACACAAGTGATGTGATGCCCTACTTGTGACTCTGTGCCTGGTTTTTCTCACTTAGCCTGATGTCCTCCAGGTCCGTACAAGTGACAATGGCACGGCCTTCTTGTTAAGGCAGAATCCTTTTCTTTGTCCGTCTGTTGATGGCATCTAGATGGCTGCCATACAGTAGCTGTTGTGAGTCATGCGGTGGTGCACGCAGGCTTCTTCGCAGGGTGCTAGCTTTGTCTCTTCTGGGTGCATGTTCACGGCGAGGACAGCTGGGTCACGTGAGTTTCATTTTTGGTCTCCTTAGGGGACTCTGTACCATCCCCCACCCTGTCCATGCCAACCTGGGTTCAAATCGGCAGTGCACAAGGGTTCCTTTCTGCCAAGATGGCTCCGCTGCTTCTTGTCATTTGTTCTTTAGGTGGCTATCTTTACAGGTGGGGTCCCGAGTCTTGGTGGCTTTCCCATGCATTTCCCTGGTGATGAAGGAAGCTAAGCAACTTTCCACATGACTGTTGCCTGTTGTTTTAAGTTTGAAAAAAGTAATTACGTGTGTGAGAGAGACTAAGAACCAGAGAATGAGACAGCGTGAAAGAGTGAGAGAAGGGAGCAAGACAGTGAGGGAAAAGGAGAAAAAGAGAGAACCACCGTGAGCACGTGCAGGTCAGAGGGCAGGTCGGAGCATAGCTTTGACAAGGTCTCTCTTGTTTCTCTGGCTGCCCAGATACCCCCGAAGAGGTATGAACTCCCATCTGATTCTGTGTCTACACCCCACTTCCCAGTGGGAAGGTCAAGATCGCAAATATGTGCTGCCGCCACGTCTGGCCTTCATTCATTCATTCATTCATTTATTTATTTATTAACTTGGGTTCCAGGTATCACGCTCATATCGTAAGGTTGCCCAGCAAGCACATTGCCCTGGAGCCGTCTAGCCTTGTTTTCTATCTTTGCATCTTTTTGGGACAAATATCTGTCTGGGTCCTTTCCACCAGATTGTTGGTTTTCCTGCTACTGAGCTGGACGGACTCCGTGTAAAACATGCATATTAACTTTCCAGACTTGCACTTGGCTCTCACACACTCTCTGCAAGTTGCTTTTCCATTTTCTTGTTTGTTCCCTTGGTGTACAGAGTCTTGAAGCTTCACATGGTTCCATTGGTTTGTTTTTATTTTGTAGCCTAAGCTTGCTTGCTCTCTGCATATGTTTTCTGAAGGCAGGTCTGTTAAGAATTAAATGGAACTAAGAACTAAAAAACCCTCATTATTCCTTCTGTTTGTGGTGCTCACTGCTGATGGCCCTGGTGCTACTGCTCTGTCTTTTCTTTTTTCGTAGGCCAGGCTGGCCTTAAACTTCCTGCTCTCCTGCCTCAGCTGCCAAGTGCGGGATTTACAGCTGTACCTGGTTCCCCTGCCACTTTCTGTGCTGCTGCTGTGGCTTGTATATCTGTGGAGCTAGTTTCAGCCCCTCAGGCGTGGAGACCTTCTCATCTCACTCCCTTAGCACCTCCATAGATCAGCATGACAGCAGGATGTGGGAGCACTGTGGAGAGAGAAAAATGTTAGAAAGGTGCGGAGAAGTCTCTGCATTGCAGAGAGCAAGAGGCTGTTATAAATTTGCTAGAAATGTAGGATTTCTGGAAATGCTTGCCCACAAGGAACACCTGCTATTTTCTGTCTAGTTCTGCTTTCTCTCAGTAAAGGAATAATTGCTCTCTGAGCCCAGTGATGAAGGAGGAGGTGAATTTATTTCGCATCACCCAGCGCGCGCTGTTAATACCTGAGAAGTCATTCCTTAGTCTAACTGATTTGTGTTGGCTTAGGCGCTGGCTTCATTGTGAAGTCATTAAAAAAAGAATGTGACTTTCTGGATCTTTTTCCTAAGTGTGTTTTTTCCTTTTTATGATTGAGAGAGGAAACAAATATGCACGTGATTGGTAAGCTGTCAGGGACCAGCCAGAAGAAGGTGCTGTCATCCAACTGTGACATGGTTTTCTTTAGTGTTTCTCATGGCACTTTATCATGCTTTCGTGGTGCCTCGAGGTGAGACTGTGAGTCTGGACGGAAAGACCTGAGGAGAGGAGGGAGGACTTGGGAGTGAAGCCAGACCCCACTATGATGCTGCTTTTGTCACTTGAGACACACTGGGGAAAAGTATCTTACAGCTGCCTGGCTCTCCAGGACGGTGGGAGCTGAATGGAAACATCATCCTGAAGGCATGGGCTGCATGGCAGGCCTTGTGCCCATTTGTGCAAATGATTCCTCTGGTAGAGAAAAGGGAAGTGGATCAGAACGTCTCTGAGCAGTTGACAAGCAGAGAGGAAACAGCCCAGACCTGAACCCATAGGCCTACGCATGTGTGTTCCTCCCATGGCCTAGGCAAGGCTTTAAACCACCCAGGGCCCATTTTATAGATATAAATTGAGCATAATGACAATAGCAGTAATTTCATTCATTGCTCTAAGGACAAAGGAAAGGGAGAGACCACCAGACATGTAGCAGGAAACCCAAACTTTAGTGTACTTTCCCAGAGTTTAGAGTCATGCGTGTGGGACCTTTAAGAGACTGTCTTTTACCATGTAGCTCCTGTGGATGGAATCTAGTGACAAAACACAAGCATTCCCGGTCATGCCATCGTCTGGTGGAGAAGCCCTGATAAGAATTAAATGGTGAGTTGAGCGTGGTGGTGAACACTCCTAATCCCAGCATTCAGCAGTCAAGAGGGTGATAAGCCTGGTCTACATTAAAAAGACCCTGCCCTGGTGTTGCTGCTGATGGCGATAATAAGGATAGTGATGATGATGGTGGTGGTGGTGGTGGTGGATGGGAAAGCACAGTCTACAGCAGCAAAACATGGTACTAAAGTCTTTGACAGGACCTTTGGTCCTCAGCCCTCTTCTTTGTCCTTTTCCCATTGAAGCCAGTGTGAAGGGGACGGTGGCCAAGCTCCAAGAGCAGGACCGAACACCTAGTATGTCTAATGAGACTTCAGTTAATCTTCTCTGGCAGCTCACTGTTATGCCAGAAGTTCACTTCACTGAGTTCTTACTAGGTGCTTCTCAGAGCAATCACCTTGGCAATCGCGGTGTGCCACCGTGTCCGCAATTTGTCTTCCTAAATGCCACTCCTTTGCTCATTGCTGCTCAGGGCTTTACCCATAAAGCAGCAACAAGACTAATACTTGAGGAAGCAACAAGGGGGTCATCGACGAGGCAGTACATTGGGGCAACAGGGGGTCATCGATGAGGCAGTACATTGGGGCCAGGCGATCCCGAGACACATCAGGATTTCAAACACAGAGGGAGGAAAGGTGAGGCCAAGGCAGAGGCCACAGTGTTAAACCGTGTCATCCCTCTGAAGTCCTAGACTGAGGGAGAACTGGCAGCCGGAAGGTAGGTTGTCTGAGACCACATCATTCCTTCCACGAGGGACTGCCGAGGAGCTCTCTCTAACCCAGGCCTTGGTTTGGGCATGCGCACCGTTGTTGGCCCGCTCTGCCGAACACTCCCGCGGCCTCCCCCGACACCGTTCTTAAGCCGCCTGGACCACAGGCCTGCTTCTGCTGCAGGAAGGCCTGGCTCCTTCAGAGGCAGCTCTTCCAGCCTTTCAGCCTCTGGTTGGCTAGACTAATCGGGACATCTCAAGGATCATGTGTATTTTTGCCTTTAGACACATTTCAGACACACCCGAGAGCTGGCCTATTTTGCTGAGGAAATCTTTACGCAGACTGCTCCCGTCCTGCCGTTCGGTGACTGGGAGTGTGAGTTAGCTGCAGTGTGATTGCGGTGGAGACTCTGCGAGTGAGCTTGGCGCCGGGCGAGGCTGCACGTTCCCGAGGGGATGACGAATGAACGCGGCTCGCTTAACCTGCTGCTCTTTTCTCTTTCTCTCCCAGGAAACAAATGGAAGACTGTTGCGATCCTGCCCATCTCTTTGCCATGACTAAGATAAATTCCCCCATGGGGAAGAGCCTGTGGTACGACGGGGAGTTTTTATACTCATTCACCATCGACAATTCCACGTACTCCCTCTTCCCCCAGGTGAGTGCAGTCCCCAGCGCTGTGAGAGAACTATATATATTATATACATATAGTTCCTTATGGTTCTCACACTAGGAGGGGGTGATGGAGTCTGCTGACCCAGTAGGCCTTCCTCTGTCACCTCCTCTTTCCTCATTTTAATCTTGCACACTCTTCTTACGTTTGTTCCATAGTTTCTGCTTTGGTGGAAGTAAAATATTAAAAGGAAGGCCCGTATGGAGTTACAGATTTCCTTGCTATTTAGATGTCAGTTGTATGAAACTGAGATAAACGGGGCGTGATGGGATCCCAGTGTTCTGAGGTCAGCCGCGGAAGGGCTGTGAGGCTCTGAGAGGCTGAATGTTTTCTTAGCACTGATGCTGCCATTGGAGCATGGGAACCATATGTCTTCTCAGAACTCTTGAATGCTAACCCCGTGGCTAGCTTCTTGCTCTGCTGTGGAGGAGTGGGCGGCACTGAGAGAAACAATCCAGTCTGACCACCTTTGAAGTGGTTTAAATAAATCTTTGCTCACTTAGTATTTCCCTGCTCGGTTTCCTGAACATTGCAGTAAAATGATTTTTACTACTAGTTTGAAACAGACAGTTTTTTTTTTTTTTTTTTTTTTTTTTAAATTTCAGAGACTATTTGGTGGAGGGTGGGGAGCTCTTTGGTGAAACGGCCATTAGGGAGAAGTGAGAAATGGATTTTGGTCTTCCCAAGTCTGGGTAACCTTAGTTTGGCTAGATGACTGCCCAGAACGAGGATTCACAGTTGTAGGGTTAGATGTTAGGACTCAGCTTCTTAGTGTCCCTGTAATGACTGAAGAGTGAGCATATTCATAAAGGACCTGAGGGGCCTATAAATTGGTCCCATCAGATCCAGAGTCACAGCCCTTACGGAGCAAACTTAGACTGCTGGGCAGATACTTGAAGGGTTAAGTGAGCATGCCACAGAGATAGCCGCATATTCGCATTTCCCTCGGCCCTGTTCACAGTAACCATGACGCAGAATCAGCCTGAGCGCCATCAGCAGAGGAATGGATAAAGAACACGGGGTCCACATACACAAAGAAACTTCATGCAGGTGTAAAGAAAAACGAAATCATGTGTTTATTAGAAAATGATCTCCCTGCTGAGATCATTTTGTTAAGTGAAAGAAAACAGACTCAGGAAGAGGATGTTTGTGTTTTCTCGCAGGCAGAATTGAAGTGTGTGTGTGTGTGTGTGTATATACATATGTTTAGGACATGAGGACATGAAAGTATGAGAGGAGAGGGGGAAAGGACCTACAGGAAGGGGTGGGGGGGCAGATGATGATGGGATGTATGTGACATGAAAGCAGAAGGAAGAAATATCTGGGAAGTGGAGAGGGAGGGAGGGGAGATGTGGAGGGTCAGGAGCAAATCGGAACAAAGCATAACGATCTGCAGGATGAAGAGGGCACAACAGAACCTGTTTCTTTGTTACGCTAGCCAAAATCTAAGAAAACAACAACAAAGCCACATCCTAGGTTTACTAGGTCACCCTTCGGCACGTTAGTATGACTGAATGGTTTTAGAAGGCACGCTGTTTAAGTTGGGGGGAGGGGAGGCTAGTAACTAGGGGGTGGAGAGTTGGAGAACACGTGTTGCTCTTGAAGAGGACCCGGGTTCACCCTCACGAGGCGGCTCACAACATCCTTAACTCCAGTTCCAATGGATCCCACTCCTCTCCCGACCTACCTGGAACCAGGCATGCATGTAGCTTGCATACATACATGCTAGCAAACAGTTATATACATAAAATAAATATAAACTAGAAGACATCGTCTGGGTAGATGACGTGTGCTATGAGCATGAGGACCTGAGTTCAAATCCCCAGGGTCTATGGCTGCATGTGCCTGTGGCCCTGCATCTGGGTGAAGTGGGGATGGGACAGGCGGGTCCCAGCAGCTCACTGGCCAGCCAGTTTAGAGAAACCAGTGAGCTTCTGCCTCAGCATTCAAGGGGAGGTCCTGTCTCGAGGCAAGCAGGCAGAGAGTACTAGAAGACAGCCAAGGTCCTCTGGCTTCCACGCGTGTGTTCACGGGAGTGCACACCCACGCGCTCATGTGTATGCACCAAATGCAGGCACAGCACACAATGCACACACACATGCATGCACACATCCACACACTCACACATGCTGGTAGAATTGCCGATATTCATGTGCTTCTTGTACTCCTCCCATTTTTTATTTTGATCAGGAGGCTTCCTCGTATCAAAGAGAAGTGGAATTGAGATATATCAGTATCTCTTTTTGTTTGTTTTTTTAATTATTAATTACAGCTTATTCACTTTGTATCCCAGCTGTACCCCTTCCCTCATCCCCCCCCCATGTCCCTCCCCCAAGTCCACTGATAGGGGAGGTCCTCCTCCCCTTCCCTCCAACCCTAGCCTATCAGGTCTCATCAGGACTGGCTGCATTGTCTTCCTCTGTGGCTTGTTAAGGGTGCTCCTACTTCAGGGGGAGGTGATCAAAGAGCCAGCCACTGAGTTCATGTCAGAGACAGTCCTTGTTCCCCTTACTGGAGAACCCACATAGAGACTAAGCTGCCATGGGCTACCTCTGTGCAGGGATCCTAGGTTATCTCCATGAACGGTCCTTGGTTGCAGTATGTGTCTCAGAAAAGACCCCCGTGCCCAGATTTTTTTTGTTTTGTTTTGTTGCTCTCCTTGTGGAATTCCTGTTCCCCCAACCCCAGGTCTGTCTAACTCCCCTTTCTTTCATAAGATTCCCTGCACTCTGCCCAAAGTTTGGCTATGAGTCTCAACATCTGCTTTGATACTCTGCAAATGGTGGGAACTAGAAAAGATCATCCTGAGTGAGGTATCCCAGAAGCAGAAAGAGACACATGGTATATTCTTACTTATAAGCAGATATTAGACATGTAATATAGGATAAACATACTAAAATGTGTGCACCTAAAGAAGCTAAGCAAGGAGGACGACCCTGGGTAAGATGTCAGTATCTCTTACCAATTAAACGCATTGGATAACTTTCCTGTCTCTTTTGAGCTCTTGTCTCTGTATGATGGAGAGAAGAGCATGGGTCCTATCTATTCACAGAGTGGCAGTGTAGACCTGTTTACCAGTGTGTACTGTAACCTCTGATTGTCAGTGCTAATATCGCTCTGGCTCATGTGCTGGATCCTGAGACTAGGAGTGTTAGTCAGGGCAGGCAATGTCCAGAAACTGCCCTGGGCACTATAGGTGAAAAGACAATTTGTCAAGACGATTGGGTGCTTCTAACTCTAGAAGAGAGAAGCAGGACCAAGATGCCACTCCTAGACTTGAGTTCCAGAACTTGATATTTGTGCTCTAGGATCAGAACATTCTAGAACCATTGGCATTCCTGTGGCCATGGTTGCAGTCAGAAGAAACAGTGGCCAGAAGCTGGGTTTCAGGACTCCCCTTCCTTCAAGCCTCATTCACGTACCTGCAACCCAAAGAAAGACCTGTTGTCTTGAAGTGGAGATAGGCAGACTTTAACTCCCAAGCTTCAGCAACGTGGTAATGAGAGGAGGGTTTCAAGCTCGAACCAGTGCATGAGATCTGATGAAATCAGCACTAGGCAGGCATGTTAGCACATACCTGTGATCCCAGCCCAGGGGAGGCCTGAGGCAAGGTGATCACACATTGGATCACACTGAAAGCTACAGCACACCTGTCATGCTTGATCCAATTAGTCTGTGCACCACTCTGTAATAGATAGCATCCCTGCTGCTCTGTGTAGACCAGACTCAGTCCAAGGGCAAGGGGAGTTCAAGGCCAGCCTGAGCCACACAGCACAATCTAGTTTTAAGAGGAACAAAACAACAAAGAACAGATACTGATGAGGTATATGAACCCGAGAAAGGAAACATTGTCTTTAACAGTAAGGAAAAAAAAGTTAAAAGCAACCCCAAAGAGGCGTTTTGTATTTGAGGGTTTTCAGTCATACCAAATGATGTTTAGCTTTATGGTGGGAAATAGATTTGAGGGGCAAGATGATTAAAGAGACACAAACTAGCCTACTGTTTTATCTGTCAGTCACAGGAGCAGGAAGGAAGGAAGTGCTTCCTTTTCAAAGTGTGTACAGAAGAATTCTGTGCCCATCACCATCCCATAATAATAAAGGAAAGACATGTCTTTTTGTAGAAAACCGAGGTCGTTCTATCTCCATGTGTGCATAGTTGTAGTTGTGCAAAAGGCTCAATGAGTTCGGTTTTAAAGTTACTGCAGTGTTTTCCTGTGAGATTCTGAAATTACTAACTACTTTGTTACCACTCTGGAAGAACAGTAATGCAGGAGGGTGCCCCTTCCCCATTTCTAGTTTGTTACCAGCAAGCACAAGCTGCCAGCTAGTAGAAGTTGAGGCCCTTCTTCTCTGTTGTTCCTGGGAAGGAAAGCAGCCTCTGGAAAAATCTCCCCTTGGTTTTGCTAGTGTGAGCAGAGCATGGCTTCTCCTTAGCATGCCGGCCAGCCCTTTACAGTGTTGTTAGATTACATACAGGGTGCAGCTGAGCTGCTCATACATGGCAGCCAGGAAGCATAGTGGAGTCATAACAGGAAGTGCTCAGGACAAGGTCTGGCCCTCAACGACAAGCCCCTCCCTAGTAACCTGCTTCCTCCAACAGCACTGCCTTCCACCACCCCAGAACTTTCCAATAATCTATTCAAAAGTCGGATCTCTCAACGGGTTAAAGCATCCATTAGGCCACAGCCCTCATGGTCTACTCTCTGGAGACATCCTCACACAGGGGTGCATAACTAAGCCCCACTGATTCTCAGTCTGATCAACTTGATAATCAAGATTACAACTCATCAGCCTGAGTTTCAGTAAAGTAATTTCCTGGTCACTCATTCTCTAGCCCAGATAGTGCCTTTCTGCTGAGCTCGGCCCCTTTCGCACATTAGCCGGCACTCTTCTTCTTCCTTTGCCTGCTCTTACTCATTGCTGCCAAGGTACAATGGAAAAGAAAGAAAGGAGACATGTTCTTTGTGGAATGTTTTAGGTCGT